TGGGATGCACATGCCTTGAAACACGTATGAGGACAGCTTGTGAGAGTTGGTTCCCCTTCTACTATGTAGGTCCTAGGAATCAAACTCACATTATAATAGGCTTGGCAGCAGGTACTTTACCTGTTGAGCCATCTTGCTGATCTCCATCGGGCTTTTGGCTTTTTTTGTTTTTCAAGGTTTCACTGTAGCTCCAGCTGGTCTGGAGCTTGTTATGTAGACCAGGCTGCCGTGATCTCACAGAGATCCTCCTGCTGCCTTCTGTATGCTGGGATTAAAGGCAATGTGCCACGACCTGCTCTCCCCTTTTAAAATATATTTATATATTTATTTTTTGAGATAGGGTCCCATGTAGCCCAGGCTGGCCTCAAATCCATTATGTAGCTGAGGATGACCTGATCCTCCTGCCTCTATTTCCCCAAAATTGATATTAGGGGTATATACTAGCACACCTAGTTTAATAATTTTTTATTTTTTTGGTCTTTTTAAGATAGGATCTCCCTGTAGTCCCAGCCGGCCTAGAACTCACTATGTAGACCAGGCTGTCCTTGAACTCACAGAGATCCACCTGTCTCTGCCTCTGGAGTGCTGCGATTAAAGGCATATGCCACCATGCCTGACTCAGTTTAATAATTTTATTCTTGACTTTTTTCCTTTTCTTTTTTTGATGGTGTTTTAGATTGTGCCCAGGGTCTCATGCATGCTAGGAAAACATTCCTCACTGGACTATATCCACAATCCCTTAATTTTGACTCTTGGAAAAACTGTGACAAGAATTTGATGTGAAGGTAACATGATCCTTTGAGCTATTAAGATGGCTCAGGAGTTAAGGACTCTTGCCAGCCATGTCTGATGACCTGAGTTCTATCCCTGGAACCCATATAGTAGAAAGAGAAAACTGACTCCTGACTTCCACATTTGAGCTGTGGTGCACATGTCTCCTCCTCCCCCCAAATAAATAAATACAGATTTTTTTTTTTAATACGGTCCTCTTTTGATAAGAGGACAACAGCTTGCAAATTGATAGTGTTGTGGGATAATAACCTAATTGCTTGGACTTTTCTTCCTAGATTCTGCTTCGTCACAGTTGGGCTTTGGGGTTCTGGAACTGTCCCAGAGCCAGGATATTGAAGAACACATTGTGCCGTATGATGTGAACAAAGAGCATCTGCCATCAGTGACCACCAACTCCACTTCTGTTAGGCTGCCTGATGTGGATGCAAATGCTGGTATGAAAGTGTTTTCTCACATGTGGCATTCTTTACAAGGTTTTTCCTTCCTCTCTTGAACTAGTTTCTTTTTTTCCTCTTAAGTTTTTGAAACCATCCAGATTAATATAATTTAGTCAGTTTGCAGAGTCAGCTGGTAAGTACTTGTCAATTGATGGTTGATAGATGAGCTTTTCTCTAGATGATTATTTTCTTTCATGGAATGATACCTATGTATTTTTAAAGATTTTAATTTTAAAATTTATTTGTCTGTAAATGTGTGTGTGCACTTATGTGTGCCAGTGTTCTTGGAGGCCAGAAGAAGGTGTCAGAATCCCTAGAGCCTGAGTTACAGGCAATTCTAAGCCACAGGGTATGCTTTGGAAGAGCTGCAAATGCTAGTGCTCTTAACTGTTGAGCCATCTCTCTGGCCTCTTAGAGATGCATATTTTCATTTTATGTATTTTGTAACTTTATTATTTCGTGTAATGAGTGTATTGCCTGCATGGATGTAACCCAGGTCCTCTGCAAGAACAGCCAGTGCCCTTAACTGCTGAGCCATCGCTCCAGCCCCTATTTAAAAATGTTAATTAAAACCTTTTTCTGGTATATTTTTATTTTCTGTGTATGAATATTTTTCCTGCTTGCATGTAAATGTACCCATGCATGTAATGCCCATGGAGGCCAGAAGAGGGTGTCAGATTCTTTGGAACTGGAGTTACAGACTGTTGTTATCTGCCATGTGGATGCTGGGAACCAAACCTTGGTCCTTTGCAAGAGCAGCCATCTTAACCACTGAGTTACCTCTCCAGTCCCTAATTAAATTTTTTTTTTTGTCCTTTTTGAGACAGAGTCTCCTTGTAGCCCCAGCTGTTCTGGAACTCGATGTGTAGACCGGACTGACCTTGAACTCACAAAGATCTGCTTTTCTCTGACTCCCAAGGCCTGGGATTGAAGGCATGCATTACCATGCCCAGGTCCCAATTTTAGTTTTCTTTCTTTTTTTTTTTTTGTCTTTTTGAGATAGGGTCTCCCAGTAGTCCCAGCTGGCCTGGAACTCACTATGTAGACCAGGCTGGCCTTGAACTCACAGACATCCACCTGCCTCTGCCTCCCAAGTGCGGGGATTAAAGGCATGAGCCACCACACCCGGCCAACTTTAATTTTTAAAAAAGATTTTAATAAATTTTTATTTTATGTGCGTGAATGTTTATCTGTATACCTTTATGTGTACAATGTGTGTGCTTGGTGGCGTTAGAGACCGGAAGAGGGCATTGTATCCCCTGTTAGTGAAATCAGCAGGCAGTTATGAGCTACTCTGGTTGGTGGGAACTGAACCTGGGTCTGTTGCAAGAGCAGCAAATGTTCTGAACTGCTGAGCCCTCTCTCCAGCCCCCTTTATATTTTTAATATTTTTTTTAATTCATTTTTACTTTATGTATCTGAGTGTTTTGCCCCAATGTATGTAAGTATACCATGTGCATGCAAATCTGTGGAGGCCAAAAGAGGGTCTTGGGTCCCCTGGAACTGGAGTTGCAGATGGTTGTTAGCTGCCATGTGGATGCTGGGAACCAAACCTGAGTTCACTGGAAGAGTAACCAGTTCCCAGCCATCTATGCATTCCCTATATTTTTAAATCAGGTTCCTTTCTATTAAAATCTTTGCTTTCAAAGAATTATTTGGGGCTGCTTATAGTACTTTGAAAAGTTAAATATCTCTTTTTCTTTTTTCTTCCAAAACATCTAGCAATTCAACATAAAAAACAATCTAGTGATGATATCTCCATGACAGAACAGCCCAACAAAGACATCCCTATGACAGTACATCCCTGTAAACGTGTTCATGTGATAGAAGAGCAAAATCTGCCACCTCCAAGGTAAACATGTTCTTTCTAAAAGGTGTCTGCATTTTGACTATGGGACTATACTAATTTGTTATGGCTTGTGGAACTATTTTTAGAAATTGCTAATTTCCTCCTACCCCCCTCCCCTAGGCCTATGACAAAGGTAGTTTATTGTTTCTGTAACTATAGGTTTTAAAAAATATTTTTACTTTATTTATGAGTGTATTATCTGCATGCAAGTGCACCCATGTTATTTAGTGCTTGAGGAAGTCAGAAGAGGGCGTCAGAGTCCTTTGGAATAGTAGTTACAGATGGTTGTTAGCCTCCATGTGGGTGCTGGGACTCAAACCTAGCTCTTCTGCAAGAGCCGTCAGTGCTGTTAACTGCTGAGCCGTCTTTTCAGTCCTATAACTATAGTTTTTAATCTTTGGTTGGCACTCCTGAGTAATCTCTTTCTTGCAGAGGCACCCTCTGTTTCTCAGAGGTGTTTTCAACTTCTCTGGTTCCTGTGAAGGGGCACATGAATACTAGTTTACAAACCTGTTGTTTTTTTTGTTGAACACCCAGATTGCTTTGAATTCTTTGTTAATTTATGGTATAGGTAGATACTGTGTCTTAGGCTCTTAGTTTGGTAGGGATGGGAAGTGCAGTTCTGCTCTGTCTATGGTGATGATTGTGTTCAAAACTGTAGACTTTGATAACAGCCAAAGTTTGGATTTGACAAAGGAAGACTGTTATGCTCTGGATTTGAGGAGAGATGAGTAAACAGTCGGTGTTTTTTCTTATTTCCTTCATTAGAATGAAGTCCTGAACAAAGATAGTTGCCATGAGTTGTCTTTCTACTGGAAAACACTTTAATAGTGGCTTTCTAGCCTTTTTAAAAAGGATTTATTTTTAATTATGTGTATGCATGTGTGTCTGTGTGTGGATATGTGTGTGTGACTACAGGTGCCCAGAGGCCAGAAGGTGTCCAGATGGTGTTACAGGCAATTATGAGCCATCTAACACAGGTGTTGGTAACTGAACTTATGTCCTTTGGAAGAGTAATAAAGCTCTTTAACCACTGAGCCTTTATGCTAAAAACTGGCTCTTTAAAAAAAATTTTTTATTTTTTATTGAGATAGGGTTTTGCTGTGTGGCCCAGGCTATCCTTGAACTTAAGAGTCTTGTGTTAACTAAGACTTTACTTTTAGAAGTTTTTATTTCAGTGAGATTTTAATTTTTTATTTTATTTTATTATTTTTATTTTTGAGACAGGTTCTCACTCATTGTTTAGGCTGGCTTCAAACTCACTTTGTAGCCCATGTTGACCTTCAGTCCTTCTGCGTCAGCCTCACAGCACTGAGATTACAGGTATAAGCTACCCCTGGTAGGTTTCTAGTTGGTCTTCTTGTCCTGTTTTCCCTTGGGAATAGTAGAATAGGTAAAAGTCTCTTGGAAGCAGCCAGAAATGTGTGCCTTACATGTTTGAGTGGTATGTGTGAAGGACTTGGAAAAGGTCAAGAGGGGATAAGGAGTGTGTAGCACTAGTGGCAAGAATAAGTCACAAATCTGTTTTTGCTAAAATTCCTTCCGGGAGGTGCAAACCATGTCCGGCCCCCTTCTCCTTTGGTCCCTATGACAAACTGAGGTTTGATTTCACCAAACTGCAGTCTGGGAAACCAGTGAGTTTATTTAGCCTACTTATAGAGCAATGGGTGAGGGTTTACTTACAAGAGTATGGGTGCTCACCCCATGAGGCCACAATGGAACGTTTCCATCCAGGCATGGATCATGCTTTCCCCACAGCTCAAAAATTGGTGCAAGAGCCTCCCTTTTACTTCCTCAGTTTATATACCCTGAGCCCTTTCCCTTCATGTAAGTAGGGCTGATTGGTTGGTTGGGAGGTATAGCTGACTCTCCCTGCCCCTCCTTTCTTGCAGAGTGTAACTTAACAGTCAACACACTTAGCTGTGATGATCCTAGGCAAACAGGTGCAACCAAGCTTGCTTGGGAAGATGGCATCTGTCCATGGTCTGTCTGTTGGAGGATAGTCCTATGCAACATCTGTATAACAGGTTTTTTTTTTTTGTCTTTTCGAGGGGTCTTCCTGTAGCCCCAGCTGACCTGGAATTCTCTTTGTAGACCAGGCTGGCCTTGAACTCATAGAGATCCGCCTGCCTCTGCCTCCTGAGTGCTGGGATTAAGGCGTGTGCTACCACGTCTGACTGTTTAACCACTTTTATAACAATTCCTAAGTCACTTTTTCCTTTTATTTTTTTGTAATTTTGAGACAGGGTCTCCCTATAGTTCCAGTTGGCCTGGAACTCACTTTGTAGACTGGGCTGGCCCTAAATCATTCTTATGAAGTCTTGGAACAAACAGAAAAGCAGTGAAAATTGGAAAGTTATGATGGTGTGAGAGATGGAGTGAGGCTTTGAAATGGGCCAAGGGCATTTTAGGACAGCATTTCACTTTTAGTAGATTATGGAGATTATAGCTGTTAAAATGTTCGAAATTGTTAGAGAAAAACATACAGAATAAGAAAAGTGTTTTCCTCAAAGGGGAAAACATTTGAATTTAGCAACCTTTTATCCTGGCAATATGAACTTTCTAGGTCAGAAGACTTGCCCTCTAGTCCCAAAGTTTCTGCTTCTACTTTGGAAACAAAAGAACAAGTGTCTGCTCAAGAACTTCTGGAAAGTGGACTGCAGATTCAAAAATCATCAGAGCCTGAGGGTTTGTCAACTCAGGAAGACTTGTTTGACCAGAGCAATAAGACAGGTAGGAAGGATGATTAGTTCTTAAAACTTTTCAACTGCTCTAGATTTTTAACTTTAGTTCTGAGGGTACTTTTTAAGTTGGAAAGCATACTGTAGGTATGGTATAGAAGAAAAATATGTTTCTAGCTGTTATTGAGAAGGGCTCTTTTGGAATGATTACTCTTCAATAGTTTATATAAATTTTACTCTTGGTATTGAAAATGTCATAGGTATTGAAAATAGTTGATACGGTAAACTTAGTATTATGGTTGTATCATCATTTCTTATGTTTACTGTGATTTTTTCTTATTCATCTTGGGTAATAATAGCTTACTTACTCATTTATTAGTTTATTTACTATGTGTCTTAGTTTGTTTCTCCATTGCTATGACAAAACACTCTGACCAATACCAACTTGGGAGGAAAGGATTTATTCAGCTTACATCTCCCAGGTCACAGTTCATCAGGGAGCCCAAGGTAGAACTCAGGGCAGGAACCTGGAGACAGGAGCTGGAGCACAGGCCATGGAGGAATGCTGCTTACTGGCTTGCTCCCCTGGCCCCTGCTCAGCTTGCTCTCTTATCCAACACAGGCCCACCTGCCCAGGGGTGGCACTATTCACAGTGGGTTGGGCCCTCCTACATCATTCAACAATCAAGAAAACGCCCCACAGACATCGCTACAGGCCAGTCCAATGGAGGCAGTTCCCCAGTTGAGGCTCCCTCAACCCAGGTGTGTCAAGTTGGCACTAAAACTGTCCAGCACACTATGGAAAGCAAAGAAAGGTCTAGCAGAAAGGACACACAGCTTAGCAGAATAGAATGGAATTTGTTTCACACTTCTTAGTTCCCACCCTCATTCCATGACCTCAGAAAGTAAGGAGTCAGTAGAAAAGCAACATAATTGTAAAGAGGGAAGATGGCTGTATTCCTTTAGGAGTCTGTGCTGTAGCTTGGTGTGTAACATCCAGAAGGTACCAATAAGCCAGTTTTGCGTGCTCACTAAAGCTATCAAATTGTGTTTAAGATACTTCCTTTTCTTTCTTCTCTCTCTCTCTCTCTCTCTCTCTCTCTCTCTCTCTCTCTTTCTCTCTTTATTTATTTATTTATTTTTCACACACACACTCACTAACCAAACACACTGGAACTGGCTGTGTAGACCAGGCTGGCTGGGAACTCAGAGACTTGCCTGCCTCTGCCTCCCAAGTGCTGGAATTAAAGGTGTTTGCCACCTCGTCCAGCTTAAGAAATTTCTTTACACTTAGGATTAGTATAGTTGATATTCCAGCTATCTATGTTGATTCTCCATCTAAGGAGAAAGGACCAAAAGAGAAGTTCATAAGATAAGCCAGTATGGCTGCTCATATAGGCTTTAATTAGTGCATTGGTATTTTCTGTCTCCTTTGAGGAGGCCCAAGTTCTAATCATGAAAATTGCTACATTCATATCATCAGGTGTCATGCGCATTGTTTTGACTTCTCCCATCTGCATCATGGCATGAGCTTTACTTCACCTTAGGTAGACCTTGGAATAAAAGGCTCGCTTGCTGTTTTATTATAGAAGCATCACAAGAAAGAAGAGCAGCCATGCAGAGGTATAAGAATTCTGGCTTTTCCTCTCTATGTTAGTTATTTTTCTCATTGATGTGACAAAATACCCAATAAAAACAACTTAAAGAAGGCTTTATTTTGGGTCACAGTTTGAGGGTCCAGACCATCATAGCGGGGAAGGCATGGCTATAGAAGCTTGAAGCAGCTGATCACATTGCATCCACAGTCAAGAAGCAGCAAGAGATGAGTGCTGCTGCTCAGCTCACTTTCTTCTTTTTATTTAGTCTGGGATCCTAGTCCATGAGATGCTGCTAGTATTTAGGGTGGGTGTCCCTTCTCAGTTAGACCTTTCTGGAAACACTCTCAATACATACCCAAAGATGTGTTTCCATGGTGATTCTAAATCTAGTCAAGTTGACAGTGAAGATTAATCATCACAACCCCACCTTTTGTCAACTTGACACCAAACATCATCACTTTAAATCATAATATTCCACTCCAGCCCCTAAACACTCCGGTTCCTTTCATAATGCAATTGCGTTTAGTCATTTCTAAAAGTTCCCATAGTCTTTAACAATCCCAGCACTAGTCAAAAGTCCAAAGTCTCTTCTGAGTCAGGGTAAATCTCCTACTATGAGCCCCTATAAAACCAAGCAACAAGCCTACATACTTTTAATATATAATGGCATAGAATAAATAAACATTCCTGTTTCAAAAAGGAGGGATGGGGGCATAGCAAGGAAAAAATGGGTCAAAACAAGACTGAAATCCAACAGGGGAAACACAAATCCTGTAGGTCTATGTTATGGGGCTCAGGATTATATCATCTGGGCTTCACCAGCCTTGGCTGTGCCTGTCCCTCCAGCCTGTAACATAGATGAGCTGTCTCTTGAGTTGGCTTTACTCTGTACCTACAGCTTTCCTTAGCAAATGCCCCATGGTTCTACCATCTCCACCATTCCTAGGTTCTTCATTGCAACTTAGGCTTCACCTTCCAACATCATGCACTGGCCTTGCAGGTACTTCTAACTCTTTCACATATTGCCTGGACTCAGCAGCTTTCTGGAACCTTGATGCCAGCCTCTATGACCCTCTCACATTTTGCATCTTTCATGCCTGCAAAACCAGTACTATGCAGATGATGCTGCCAAGTTCTGTCAGCTTGAGATATAGCCTGGCCCTCTTTGACCACAGTTGCAGTGGCTTCTGTTTGTACCTTTAAGGGTGACATTAGAGAAACAATTTCCTCAGCATCCATTTTGAAAGGAACACATGATAGCATTGTCAGTTTAGGCTGTCTCCTTTCAAATGAATGGTTGGGGTTTTAATTCCTGTTGTCTCAGTGCAGAGCATGAAGAGGTTTCTCTATTGGCATTAATCTCTTTAACAATTGTGATGCTTTGTCTGTATTCTCTTTGTTGATAACTTTAAACTCATACTCCTTTCCTTGCCAAAATGTACATTTTTTTGTATCTTTTGTTTTCTCCCACTGTAGATATGAATAAGAACAGGGAATAGTAGTATGCCACAGTCTGAATGCTATCCTGATGTGGAAGATTTTTGACAAGCAAATTATCCCATTACTTTTGAATTCAGCCTTACTCAGGTTCTTAGGACATGGGTAGAATGCAGCCAGATTCTTTGCCAGAATGTAATATGAATGGCTTTTATTTTGTTTACTTCTCAGCAGAATCCTTGCTCCCCTCTAAAACCCTATGAGCCGAGTTTCCAGTCTACATTTCTCTTTGCATTCTGGTCTTCCAAACTCTCAGCCAGAATGGCCCATTGTGTTCTGCTTATAGTGTTTTAATGCTTCTTTATGTCACAGTTGCAAGCTCTTCCACGTTCCTCACACAAACCAGTTCTAAGGGCCTGTAATCCACATGGTCAGGTTTTGTATAGTCTGGACCCCAGTTTTTATACCAATTTTCAACATTTTCTCATTACTGTGATAGAATATTTGAAAAAAGGAGCCTTAAGGAAGAAAGGGTATATTTTTTCTTACAGTTAAAGGTATCATGTTGGGAAGTCATGGCAACAGGAGTCTTAGGCAGCTGGTCATACTGCATCCACAGTCAGGAAGCAGAAGGAGATGGATGCTGGTGCTCACCTTGCTTTCTCCTTTTTATTCAGTCTGGGACCCCATGGAATGGTGCTGTGCACTTTCAGGGTGGGTCTTCCTTCCTCAATTAAACCTTTCTGGAGGCACCTCACAGATAATTGTGGAAGTCTGTTTCTGTAGTGTTTCTAAATCCAGTCAAGTTGACATTGAAGATGACCCATCACCCTCTCCAAGCTTAGATTATGACACAAAGGACCAAGGAACTCTTTCAATCAATTCTTTATTAATGAAACCAGTAATTTTTTTGGGGGGGGGTAGGGGTAATATTCACTGAAGATTTGTATTATTGTGACATTCCTTGAGTGGTACCATCAGAAAAAAAATTTTTTTACAATCAGAAAAAAAATTCTGCCCACTTGAAGCGTAATTGAAACTGTGGGTATTAACTGTTTTTGCAATGCTGAGTGGGAGTTTTTTTTAAATTTTTGTTTTTTTTTTTCAACTTGGCGATGTCAGTCTGAGAAGTAAATACAACTAAAAATTTGTTTTTCTCCTAGAAGATTCTGATGGTTGTTCTACTCCTTCAAGGGAGGAAGGTGGGTGTTCTCTGGCCTCCACACCTGCTACCACTCTGCAGCTCCTACAGCTGTCTGGTCAGAGGTCCGTTGTTCAGGAGAGTCTTTCCACGTAAGTAAGCCTGAAGCAGCATGGGCCCAAGTAGCATGTCCCTGAGTCTCTTAGGCAATGTTTGGAAGACCTAAAGTTGCCTCTTAGCCAAAACTTTTTTTTAAAAACTAAAAGCTACAAATCCAGGCTTTAGAAATGTTTGGGTGAGAACTTAGTGGAACTTTAAAAAAAAGTACATGTACATGTATTTTGAGGCTTTAGGATAGCAGCCAAAAGTTTTCACTAGGAAAGAAGATGCCTCGTTATTTAGAAATGTAATACAAGTCTTCTGCTTCTCCATTTTTCTAATAGTATTTCTTCCCATTTAACAGTATAGACTAAAGAGTAGGTTGTTACAGTCAGCAGTAGTTGCATTTGTCTTCATGTTAGGTCAAAGAGTTGCTTTTTTTTTTTTTTTTTTAATGTGCTTGTTTTTGTTTTTACATAAAAATGTGTATAGTCTTCCTGTTATGTATAAGTGGAGTAAATATGTTTCAGATCTGTGAATGTAGTTTTTAGATTTTGCTTGTCCTGGTTTTTAATCATGATGTTCTTTTGTGTAGTCATTCACTTTGCCCTTACTCTTCTTAAAAAACTTATTTTAGAGATGTTGAGTCTCAGATTGCTGTTGGGGAGAAATGTTATTAAATATATATACTATTAAGTAGTATGAGTTATATATTTTTGCTGTTAAGTAAAAGCAAACTTGAAACCTTTGGCTGTGGTAAAATAACCTGTGATTCTCTCTTTATATAAAGGAATTCCTCAGATCTTGTTGCTCCTTCCCCTGATGTTTTCCGATCTACCCCTTTTATCGTTCCTAGCAGTCCCACAGAACAAGAAGAGAGAAAAGGTGAGCTCTCTTGATCTGTGTTCATCTCAGATTAGAAGAGGTGTAGCATTTCTTCTGCCTTAACTAGATTTACTGTTTCTTTGCACTTTTGAACACTATTCATGCGGACTCATGTTTCCCTAATCTTGTAGGATATGGCCTACTATGAACTGCTCTTTCAGTTCTTGCTTTTTTTTAGCATAGCTTCTTTTGAGACTTTTCTGTTGCTTCAATTTTGACCAAAAACATTTGAGGGAAAATTGTTGTTTTTGAAGTCGAACCCAAGTGAGTTAATACGGGGAAATACTGAATTTATTAATTGTCTAGTACATTCCACTAATATGCTAAAATGTTTCTAATGAGAGAGAACCAACAATTATTTCTTAGGTTCTTTATTTTTGTTGTAAAGTACTTTAGTCGAAGCGTGGCTTAGGTGATAAAAATTTTAACTTACTTTCACTTTTGAGGACTTAGTGATTTTTATATTACTTAAAACTTTTTTTCAAGACAAGGTCTCATGTAGTTCTGGCTGGTCTCAAACTCCTTATGTAGCTGAGGATGACCTTGAACTTCTGATCTTCCTGCCTCTACCTCCTGAGCGTTGGGGATTACACGTGCATGCCACGATGCCCTGTTTTATGTGGTACTGGGGATCTGGCCTTGGACTTTGTGTATGGTAGGCAAGTACTCTATCAACTGAGCTACATCCCTAGCCTAAACTTATGTTATTCATAAGAAAGCTTCCTTTCAGTTACCTAATTTATCCTCTTTAAACCTTGTTTGCTCTGCCGTAGTCTATCTAATCATTTGACATACTTCTAAATTTCTTTTTTACTTTTCTTTTGAGACAGGGTCTCGTGTATCCCTAGGCTGGCCTCACACTCACTATGTAGCCAAGGATAATCCTCTTGCCTCTACCTCCCAAGTTCTGGGACTATAGGCTGGGTTTTACTTAGTGTTGGATATTGAACTTAGGGTTTCCTGCATGATAAGCAAGCACTCTACCAACTGTGCTATATCCCCAGTCCACGTATTTCTAAACGCCTATCTCTATAAAGCTTTCTGGTAAATTCTATAGGTTTCTTCTTCTTTCTGGGTTTTTTTTTTTTTTTAGATTTATTATTTTTATTTATGTGTATGTGTGTCTGTCTGGTATATGTACATTTGTGTGTGGGTGCCCTCGGATGCCAGAAGGTGTTGTAGCCTCTGGAACTTGGAGTAGGCTGCCGACATGGGTACTGGGAACTGAACTCAGTCTGGAAGAGCTCTTAACCACTTAGCTATCTTCACAGCCCTTTTCATTCTTCTTTTTGTTTTGTTTTCTGAGACAGAGGTCTTGCTGTGTGACCCAGGCTGGCCTATATTCACCTTGAGATGCTTCTGCTTCCTTTTCAGGTGGCTGGGATTTCAGCTTTGTACCACTGTGCTTGGCCCTCTTCTTATTCATATTAATACTATAATAGCTTATATTTATGAAGTGCTTAGTGTATGCCAGATGCTGTTGTAGATACTTTCATTTGCTCTAGTACCTCTCTGTGGTTTTTCTCCAGAGAACCCTCAGAAAAATCCTAAGTAATGGATTCAGAGTCAGAGAGATTTCACAGCTGGTAAGAGTCAAGATCTATACTCAGCTGGGGGCGGTGGCACACGCCTTTAATCCTAGCACTTGGGGGTGGGGTGGCAGAGGCAGATAGATCTCTGTGAGTTCCTGGACAACCTGGTCTATATAGTGAGTTCTAGGCTAGAACATATATTCTTATTTGTCATGTATTTGCCCCTGTGATATTCTATTGTCTGTGCTCTTGAGCATTAGAAATATTGAAAACTAATACAATGACAAATTTTAATCTTAGGTTTTCTTCTGCTGCTGTTTGTTTTCTGTTGAAATCACTTATAAGTATCCATATAGACCACTGTCATTCTAACCATAACATAATTAGAGATGTCTTCAGTAAAAAATGAGATTTTCATTCTACAAAAGCCTCTACTCAGTTGTTAGGTTAATTCTTAATTATTTCTGTCTGTACCATGAATATATAAAAAGAGTTGTATTAAAAATACTATTTCCAGCTGGGTGTGGTGATGTACACCTTTAGTCCCAGTACTTGGGAGGCAGAGGTAGGTGAATCTCTGTGAGTTCAAGGCCAGCCTGGTCTACATAGCAAGTTCTAGGACAGCCAGGGCTGCAGGGAGACCCTGTCTCAAAAAGACCCTCCCCCCCCGAAAAAATACTATTTCTGGACTGGAGAGATGGCTCAGCAGTTAAGAGCACTGGCTACTCTTACAGAAGACCAGGGTTTTGTTTCCAGCATGCACATGGTGGTTAACAACCGTCTGTAACTCCAGTTCCAGGGGCTCCAACACCCTCTTCTGATCTCTGTCAGAAGGGTGCACTTACATACATGTAAGTAATACACTCATACACATAAAATAACAAAATATTTAAAAAAATGCTTTTTTTCTGCTGTATGTAGTGGTGCACATCTTTAGTTCCAGTGCTAAGGAGGTAGAGGCAGGTGGATCTCTATGAAGATCATGCCAGCCTAGTCTCCACTGTGAGTTTCATGTAGCCAGGGCTACATAGTGAGACCTTGTCTTAAAAAAAAAAAAATAATCCTTCTCCAGTACTCATTATAGTATTTGGAAAAGGTATGAGAAAGTAATGGTAAGAAAATAAAAATCACCTAAGGTACCACAATCCAGATTTAATTACAATTAGTTTTTGTATATTTTTTCAGTGTTTTCTGCTTATATGAAAAAGTATTTTTTAAGATATTTTATTTATTGTTTTATTTTATGTGTATGAGTGTATTGCTTCCATGTATGTGAGTGCATCTGTGTCGTGCAGTGCTGCAAAGGTCAGAAGAGGGCTTCAGAGTCCCCTGGAACTGGCATTAAGGATGGTTCATAGCCATCATATGAGTGCTGGGAATCGAACCCAGGATCTCTGCAAGTGCAGTCAGTGCTCTTAACCACTGAGCCATCTTTCTAGCCCCATTAAAAAGTATTTTTATGTAATTGTCATCATTATTTATGATTTTAGTTTAATATTAATATTAATGTAACATTGCATTTTCCCTTGTATTTTAGATTTAACACGTTTGTTTAATATGTCCATCAGTGTTGGTGAAATTATAATTGCTTTTTATAGCTATTTGTTTTACCATCTGTCTTAGGTTACTAACTTAAAACATTTCTTTTTTGGTCTTTTTGAGACAGGGTTTCCTTGTAGCCCCGGCTGGCCTGGAACTCACTGTGCAGACCAGGCTAGCCTTGAACTCACAGAGATCTATCTGCCTGCCTCTGCCTCCCGAGTGCTGGGACTAAAGGCATGCGCCACCACACCCAGCTTAACCTAAAGTATTTTTATATGTGGTACCTTAGATAGCAGTCTTAAATGTCCTTTCTCATGGCAAAAGAGGTCAAAAGCTGCAGAGATATACATAACACAGCTGTGGTAGTGTATCAAAGTTTATAGCACCAGATCTTAAGATTGCATCAGTCTGGTATGTGAGGCCAGGCAAGCAGCAGGGGTAGGCACTGAAGTTAGGAGTGTGGGCAGTTGGTAACATGAATGTAGTCTGGGGAAAACCAAGTGGAATAAGTAATTTATGAGAGGCCTGGTTAGGGTCAGATTGTAGTACAGGGGTTAAAACCTGTTGAATTATATAGCTAGCTGGGTTGGCTCTGAGGAAGGTCTTGGGCAGCCTCAAGTGAGCAGTATATTATGCAGAAGCATTGCTGCTGTTGTTTTTTAATTTAAAAAAATTTTTAAAATTTTTTGTCTTTTTGGGACAGGGTCTCCCTGTAGCCCCACCTGGCCTATAACTATGTAGACCAGGCTGGCCTCTGCCTCCCAAGCGATGGGACAAAAGGCATGTGCTGCCACACCCGGCTAGAAGCAGTGTTTTATGTTCTTTGTGTTTTATCCTGAGAAATAGGATAGACATCAGTTTCTCTGCACTTACCAGTAGTTAATGTGAATATAATGAGTTCATGAGTATTTAGATATTGACTTGGAGCAGTCAACAAGTTCATTGCATTTCAGGGCCTGGGGCAGAATATGTGATAGTTAAATTAGGTAGTATTAAGTGCCGAGGAAATGGCCCAGCAGCTATGCAAGCAGGAGAACCAGAGTTCTGATCCCTAAAACCCACTCAAATACTGAGTGGGCATGGTGACCTTGTACTTCTAGCCTTGGGAGGCAGAGAATGGGATTCCAGAGCAAGATGGCTAGCAAGACTAGGAAGACAGATCAAGGAAAGTTCTTAACATCAACCTTGGGCCTTCACATACGTGCATGTGTGTGACGCACATGCACATCTATACACATCTGTGCCTACACAGATGTAGACACAAACACATGAACATTACATATACAAATACATGAAAAAATTTCATCTGGGCATTTCCATACAAAATATTGAAAATGAGCTATGTATAATTAGGGAGGGTTTAGAGTATCTGATGTAATTTAATGTGTCTTATGGGTGCTGAGTATCCTCAGATGAAACACCATTTTAATCTGTATCTAAAAATAAATGCAGGCTAGTGAGATGGTTCAGTGGTTAAAAGCACTTGATGTGCAAGCTTGACAATCTGTTTGATCTTTGGAGCCCACAGTGGAAAGAGAGAACCAACTTCTGAAAGTTATCCTCTGACCTCCACATGTGTGCCATAGCACCCACACAAACACACATATACATTATATATGATAATAATGTATAAAATAATATATATATATATTTTTTGGTCTTTTTGAGACAGAATCTCCTGTAGTCCCAGCTGGCCTGGAACTATATAGACCAGGCTGGCCTTGAACTCACAGAGATCTGCCTGCCTTTGCCTCCCTAGTGCTGAGATTAAAGGCATGCACCACCACACCTGGCCTTATAAAATGAAATGTTTTTTTTTGGTCTTTTTGAGACGGGGTCTCCCTGTAGCACCAACTGGCCTGGAACTCACTAGACCAGGCTGGCCTTGAACTCACAGGGATCTGCCTGCCTCTGTCTCCCAAGTGCTGGGTCTAAAGGTGTGCGCCACCATGCCTGGCCTAAAATAAAATTTTTTTAAAAATTAATTTTTATTTTGTGTGTACAAGTGTATTGCCTGCATGTATGTTTAAGTGCACCCATATTGTGCAATACCCATCGTGGTCAGAAGAGGGCATCAGATCCCCCTGACTGGAATTATTCATTATTGTTAACCACCGTGTGGGTGCTGGGAATCAAACCCAGGTCTGAAAGAGCAGCCACTGTTCTTAACTGCTGAGCCATCTCTCCAGCCCCAAATGAAAATTTTTAAATGTTGATGCATACCCCCTAAAGGTAGTATTGCTGGGACACAGCCTACTATCAAGTACTATTGTTGTCAGTTGTAGTGAAACATGAGCAGTATTGATGAGTGATGATTTGCTATTCAATTTTCCTGTTTTAAACCAGATGAGCCAGTGGACATGTCAGTGATATCTGAAGGAGAAGGGATGCCTTTTCAGAAGAAACTTCAAGAGGATGAACCAGTGGAAATAGAAAAAGCCCCTGTCTTATGTCAGCCCACAAGCCTCACACCACAAGCCTCAACACCAGTGTCTCAGAGCACACCAATCTTCACTCCTGGCTCACTTCCTATCCCTTCCCAGCCAGAGTTTTCCCATGTAAGTGTTGTGGGAAGATTTTCCTCCTAAAGCCTTTCCTTTCCTTTTTATTTTGTGGTTCAGGGATTTGAATTTACAAATGTTAGGCAAGTGCTCTATCACTGAGCTATATCCCTAGACCAATTTTTAAAAAAATTATTTTGTGTGTTTGTGCATGTGTGCATGTGTAGAGATCAGAGGACTACTTTCGGGAGTTCTACAACTGATCTGTACCCCTCATCCTTGCTTTCTGCCTTATTTGGTTTATTCCCTCATGTTGGTTGGGGGCATTTTCAAAGAGCCTTTTTCCTACCCTCCTACTTTATTTGTAGTTTGTAGCCTATGGAATTCTAGATTGGTAATACTTTTCCTTTGAAGCTTTTGAAGGTATTGCTCTGTTATCTTTGAATCTCTAGTGCTGCAGTTAAGTAGTATGAGGTCAGTCTGATCCTGGGTTTTGCCCTGTGACTGCTTTTGTTGTTATTGTAATCCTGTAGGATTTTCTCCTTGCCTCCAGTGCCCCCCTACCCACAATCCTCGAGTTTGTTTCTTTGAGATGGGATCTTATATAGCCCAGGCTGAATGTTATATAGCTGAGGGTGACCTTGAACTCCTGATCCTTTTGCCTCTAGCTCCCAAGTGCTTACAGGTATACACCATCATGTCCAGCTCTTCCTCCAGTGTTCTGAGACCTTTGGTGTGGGTGTGTTCACTCCTCCTGCCTCAACTGGAATTATAGATATGATCCACTATGCCTGCCTGACAGGCTCCTTTCATTTAGTGTGTTTTCAAAGTTCATCGCTGTTAACTGCATAGAGCAGAATTTTAGCCTTTTTATTGCTGAATAAGATCCTTTTATGTGTACATGACATTATTCTTTTTTTTTAAAATATATTTTTATTTATTTATTTATTTATTTTTGTCTTTTTGAGACAGGGTCTCCCTGTAGCCCCAGCTGTCCTGGAACTCACTATGTAGACCAGGCTGGCCTTGAACTCACAGAGATCCGCCTGCCTCTGCCTTTATTTTTATTTTTTAAGTGTATGAGTGTATTGCCTGCCTGTGTGTAAGTGCACTTGTGTCGTGCAGTGCCTTCAGAGGTCAGAAGAAGGCTTCGGATCCCTTGGAACTGGAGTTACAGATGATTTTTAGCTGCCATGTGAGTGCTGGGAATCAAACCAGGGTCCTCTGCAAGAGCAGTCAATGCTCTTAACTACTGAACCACAACTGAGCCATCTCTGCAGCCCCATGACATTCTTTTTTTAAAAAAATTTATTTTTTAAGTCTTTACTATTTTATTTATTATTTTAAAAATTTTATGTATTTGAGTGCATTGCCTGTATGTAGATAAGTGCACCCATGTCCTGCAATGCCCACACAGGTCAGAAGAGGGCATCAGATCCCCTGGAAATGGAGTTATGGATGGTTGTTAGCTGCCATGTGGGTACTGGGAATTGAACCCTTGTCCTCTGTAACCAATGCTCTTAACTGCTGAGCCATCTCCCCAGCCCCATGTTTATTCTTGGGATCCTTTCTCTTTTGTTGAGCAAATTTGTATGAGGACATGGTTTTATTTGTCTTACATAAACCTGTGGGTGTAATTGCTGGGCTCAGCCATCTATTTTAATCAAATCATTACTAATTTCTGTGTTTGGTTTGTAATTCTTAAAGCCTTTTTTTCCTCTGAGTATTTTTGCCTTTTATGTATTTTTTTTCTTTCTTTCTTTCTCTTTATTTTTTTGTCTTTTTTGAGACAGGGCTCCCTGTAGCCCCAGGTGGCCTGGAACTCACCATGTAGACCAGGCTGGCCTTGGACTCATAGAGACCCACTTACCTCTGCCTTTTGGGTGCTGGGATTAAAGGCATTTGTCCCCATACCCTACTTTGAGACAGAGTCTTGCTATGTAGCCCAGGCTAGCCTTGTACTTGTCATCCTCCTGCCTTGGCCTCCCAATGGTTATAATTATAGACATGTATCACCTTTTGAGGCTTGCTTAATACTTCAAATCAATATTCTCAGCCCAGTTTTGGTCTTTCTTCCACCTGTTTTTGAGATAGACTCATGTAGTAGCCCAAGTTGGCTGTGTAGTAGAGGATGACATAGACCTGATCATCCTGCCTCTACCTCCCAAAACTGGAATTACAGATGTGTTCCATCACCTGGTCTTTTTGAGTGGTTTTATTGAATACTGGGGATCAAACCCAAAGCTTTGTGCATGGGAGCAAGCACTCTACCAACTTAACTATGTCCCAAACCCATTTTGATGTCTTTCACTATTTTTTTAATTTATTATTTATTTATTTATTTATTTGTTTGTTTGTTTGTTTGTATATTTTTGTGTGTGCCTGTGTGCACCAATGTGCACACATAGCTTAGCACATGTGTGGAAGTCAGAGGACAACTTCTGTGAGTTTGTTCTTTCCTTCTATCACATAGATTCTGGAGACCAAACTCAGGTCATCAGCAAGTGTCTCTACCTGCTGAGCCATTTTGCTAGACCTTCTGTCTTTTGGTCTGTCTCTGTCTGTCTCTCTGTCCGTCCATCCATCCATCCATCCATCCATCCATCCATCCATCCATCCATCCATCTCCTGTTTTGCATGCATGTAGGTGCGACATGTGGGTGCCAGGTGTCTGGGGAGGCCAGAAGAGGGTATCAGATCTCCTGAACTGGAGTTACAGCTGGTTGTGAGCTGCTGTGTGGGTGTTGAGAACTGAAAGAAAGGAAAACAGGTGCTCTTAACTCTTAACTACTAAGCTACCTCTATAGCCCATTCTTGATAGCTTTTAAATGAGAGCTTTTCCTTATTTGCCCATATTTAAAAGTGAAATTCTAAACTATGATTCATAGTTCTGATGGTTAGAACTTCTTGTTCTGGATTCACTGCAATGTAATTTGTTGGGACATTTTGTTAGGAGTGCCCTGGTGTCTGAATCTTGATATCTTAGACTGGTCAAATTCCTCAAGGAAGTGTTTATCTGCTGGGTACAGGCCTGGTCATCATTATACTAGAAGTCCATTATTGGAAGAAGGCCTGAGGTAGGGGTGTTGAGAGAAGTGTAAGTTCCATTTGATGTTAGATTTTCCTTTAATCTCTCTTTTTGGTATAGGTCTTCACTGTGCCTCCTGTTCTCCAGTCTAGGGCATTGTATTTTATTCTCTCCAGGGTGGAAGGGGACAGGGAAAGGGGATATAGAAGTTGAACTGCTTTTTAAATAGATTTCTAATAAGTTCTATTCCTTCTTTTAGTAGCTCCTCACCATTACTTAGAATTATCTGGTGCTACTTCCAAGTCCTAAACCTTTTTTGGGGGGTGTGGGGTGGGAGGTGGTATACTCTGGTTCTTTGCTGGGGTTTGGGAGGTAGGTGGTATTATTTTGGTTACTTCACTTTTTCTCACTTGGCTTAGGAATCTAGCTTCCACTACTTTGTCAAGCATATTACCACTCTTCCAGATTATTATTATTTGCAATTCTCTTTTTTCTTATTCTTGAGAATTACACATTTTAGAAGAAAGTTCTTTTACCATTGCATAGTAGCTAAAAATAGTTAAAATAGATGTGTACATTTAATCTATTGTTTTCTTTTTTTGAATAATTTTTTAACTTTATGTGTATGAGTGTGTTGCCTGTACGAATGTAAGTGCACCTGTATCGTGCAGTGCCTGTGGAAGTCAGAAGAGGGCACTGGATCTCCTGGAACTAGAGTTAAGGATGATTGTTAGCTGCCATGTAGGTGCTGGGAACCAAACCCAGGTCCTCTGCAAGAGCAGTCAGTGCTGTTAACTGACTAGCTAGTGTTAGAAAAAAGGGGACTGTTAACTTCAGCCCCTTAATCTATTATTTTAGTGAGAAAGCTACTTCCTTTTTTTTTTTTGTAAATTTTTTATTGAATTTTTGTGTATTTCATACAGAACTTTTTTTTTTTTTTTTTGTCTTTTTGAGACAGGGTCTCCCTATAGCCCCAACTGGCCTGGAACACACTATGTAGACCAGGCTGGCCTCGATCTCACAGAAATCTACCTGCCTCTAGTTCCTGAGTGGTGGGATTAGAGGCATGTGCCACCACACCTGGGCCATACAGAACATCTTAATCATCTTTATACCCTCTTCCCCATTGGCTCCCTTCCATACCCCCCACCACTGGAATTCATGCAGTCATTTGTGTTAAGGCCTATCATGTCAAATTATTGTTCCCAGACATCCCTCAGTGCAAGTTCATTCACTGAAGTTTAGTCAGCCTATCTAGAGTCCCTCTCTTTAAGAAGATCAGCTCTTCCTCACCTAGCAGTAATCAGTCGCCAATAATTCAACTAAGATTGGGGCCTGCTGCCCATTTCCATGGTTCTGTGCTGGGTTTTTGTCTGCTTGAGTTTCATGGTTCTTGTGCCTGCTGACACCATTGCTGTAGGTTCATGTGAACAAGATCCCAGGGGCCTCTAGGACTCTATTTTTCTTATGGTCATGCACCTTCTCTCTGGCTCTTAGAATCTTTCCATCCCCTCATCTGCAATGATCCCTGAACCCTGGATGGGTGGAGTTTAATATAAGAGTCCTGTCCAAGTACCCACACTCTGCAAGCTCTTATTCTCTATGCTTTGGCCATTTGTGACCTTTTGTGTTCCTGGCCCTCTGCTGCATGAGGGAGCTTCATTGATGAGAACTGAAAGATGCATTAGTGTTTTCCTTACCCCTTGTTCTGTGTTCCATGAGCCTTAGGTGTAGAGGTTGCATCATAGATGTGCCACTTAGGCTTGTGCAATTCACAGTCCATGTGTATGACCAGTTATATAACTCTGAAATAATCTCCATCTGCTGCAAAAGAAGCTTCTTTGATGTGTGGTGACTGAGATACTTGTCTGTAAATACAAGGATCCATATTTTATACTTAGAAAGACATTACTTTTGTCTAGGAATGTGACAGCCTTAGGGGTTTTTCTCTAAAATCTGTGACCTCTCCAGCCATGTGTATTTGGCTGGGTTTACAGTATCACACTTGAGTTTCCTCCCATTGAGTGGG